GCAGGGGCTTTGGGGAAGAGGCGTGGGGGGCAGAGCAGGGGCAGCTCTCCTGGCGAGCTGAGCCAGCCAGTGGATCGGGCTGGCCTGGGCCCCTTCTGACTCTGGGCCTCTCGCCATGGTATCACTGGTGCCATGGTAAACCCGGTACTGCTTACAGCCTAGCTCATGGCACAGCTCTCTGCAGCAGGTGGTTCTGGGAAAATTTACAAAGTACTGTGGGCTGCCAGTGGTATTCCAGCCTTTAGAAGGGGAGGAGCCTAGAGTATTGTGGGCTCCCAGTTGTTGTCAAATGAGGCCCTGAGACATAAACCCTTGGTATCAGGGCCTCATCTTACTACAGCAGTGTCAGTCTGGTTGTTAGCCAGTGTTTAGCACACAGACTACATTGCTAAACAACCTTCCCTAGATCACGGGTGAAGATCAGGTCAATCATGCTTGGTGTCAGATGCTACTGGTGTGGTGCTTCTGTTTTTTCCTGTTGATATCACTCGGCTGCGTGCGTGCGTTCCCTCTGTGTGCTGCCCCAGCTCTGCACAGATCGCTGACCCAGCAGACCCGACGAGAACCCCCAATAACCACAGAGTCTAGTAAGATACAAAGTCACTTCGACTAGATTTATTGCAAAGCATAACCATGTTTTTCTAGTCCGGTGTTGTACTCTGGCCCTTTTACTTGGGTGACACAGATAGAAACACACTCCTATTAGGGCAATTCCAGTTATCACGTGGAAACCTGTTGAAAACATGGAAACCTGTTGAAATTGTTTGGTTAGCTTTATGCATAAATTGTTATTTTAAAACATTTTGGTTGTGACATTCTTATAACTATATTTAAAAGTGCAAACAAGTTTATAAAAAGCTTAAAAAAGAAATTAACATTTTGTTAATATTATATTTACTTTAATGTTGAAGGTTTCCCCTTACATTTTTTCTTTGAATAACAAATACATTTTTTTTTTAAAAATCACAACAAAACTGGGATTGATCAGAGAATATTTTTTGTTTGCAATTGCATTATTTGTTGAGGCAGAAATATATGGAAATATATGTACATATATTTGTAACTGAAACTTTTTTGAACTTTGCACAAAATATTGGTGCTAATAAGACTATGATTATACCCCAACCATGATCTTAAAATAGTGTGGTACCACATATACATAAATTTTTAAAAGGGTATAAAATTGACTTTTGTTGCAACAAAATAAAAATAATACAAAATAGTCACGTAACACACACACAACATACAACACAAGACAACACACATGACATACAGGACAAACTTACAATTAACAACAAATGGCGCCAGAATTTTATTCATAACTATACAAAGTAGGACAAACAAAAATAAAAAATAAAAAGGGTTATATTTGAATAAACAAATTATTACCTTATGTAAAACTTGTTACATAAATTGTTAAAAATATATTAATATTTGCCAAATATTTTGGTAACAAGGAATTTTGCATTACTTTATATTTAACATTATTTTAAAACTCTGCTATATGGAAATAAGAAACGCCCATGTTTCAAATATTAATGAGTGGTTAGGATTAGAAGCAGAGTGTGCATTTCTGTTGGTTGGCAACCATATCTTCAAGAAAGTTAGGAATAATTTTAGCTGTTGCATTCCTGAAGGGTTAAAATACTTAATTTACTGGATTTATTTGAAATAAAGTTTTTACCTTGTTTTGTTTTTGTTTCTTGTTTTATTCTGTTTTCAATTGCTTTGTCTTTTGGAGGTTTCTGTAAAAACTATAACTTTTAACTTTTAAAACAAAAAGAGAGCAGAACTGAGGAGAGGCGGGGGAAAGTGGGGGGGGGGGGGAAGAGCAACCTAGGAAGGTAGCGAGACCTGAGCCAAGAGAGATGAACTCTATCAAGATATTTGAAGGTACAGGCAGCAGCAGCAAATTTAGCAAACTAAGAAAGCATATAGAAGAACAGGAGGACTTGTGGCACCTTAGAGACTAACAAATTTATTAGAGCATAAGCTTTCATGGACTACAGCCCACTTCTTCGGATGCATATCATATATG